AAATCTCAAAGGGCAGACACAGTCAACTGAATTAATTTGGAAGTGTATTTTAAATCATGAATATTATTTATTATATAATTTGTGGCTATGACCGCTTATTACAATAAGTATGTATATGCAATGTATGTCTATATTATATAATTAAGGTCACGTGCATGGTTTATGTATACGTAGGATGACCATTTTAGATCTAAATGACATGCTATTTTAAACAAAACAGTAAGTACCACAAACAAAACACATTTAAGTGGTTTCGGATTTCATTGTTTCAATGCTCGGTGGTTTCATTTAGTGTTGTATTAACTGTCACCATTTGATAATACACAAGTTGCACTCTTGTCACAATAACAAACAGCAGACATTGGACAAATGGCATTGTACTCTCCTGGTTACCGACATACAGAATATGTTATTACGGCCATTCGTGGGTCGCTGTACACATATCGATATATATGATACTGTGATGATATGTTAACACAAATTGTGTATGCAGTCGCCACATTTACCATCAATCCGTCATAGCAATCTTCCCGTGTCACTCGACATGTCATCGGCTAATTTCCGGATATGGCTAGTTGGTATCAGAGTGACCTCCCCTGAATTATTAGAAAAGTTAAAGATGCACGCCCATATATATATATTTATATTTCAGTCATATACCATCATTCAAATTATCGTTCCTTTGAAGTAAGAATGTGCATTTATGGGCGTTTAGGTCCCGGCTTGGATTTTTTATACCAGATTTGCATGGATACATCTCCAGCACACACACAGGCATGCACACATAATGAGATATTAGCCAGGTGGCATAGGACTAGTAGTTAGCGCCCGATAAGGCAGCTCCTGCGAATTCTTCAATATTGTTTTGATTAATATATATGCTAATTGTATTGACTGTATAAAATTGTATATCTATGTACTGTAAAGCGTTTTAGAGTGGCTTATGTTAGCTAGATAGGGCGCTATATCAAATGTTGTATATTTTATTTGTTTTATTTATGTTGGACATTTATGCTGGGAAGACGTTGCCTAGCAACATAGTCGGCAACCCATTTGTTATACACGTATACATTGTATTGTATTTGATGTTTTAGTGATCGATGCTAACCATAACATGTTATATACTAAGGAGCTTTCAACGCGTTAACATAATTATGGTTTTATTTGAACATTGCGGCAAACTCGATTATTTTGCTTACCAACCATTTCTAAGTTTGGCATGTTACCAGCGGTCATTCCAAAAAAACAACTTTACCCACAACATTCAAACATTAAAATAAGGAAAAACTTCTTTTCTCTACGAATAGTAAAATTATGGAATAGTCTTCCAGAGGATTTGATATCAGCACCATCAATAAATGCATTGAAAACAGATTTGAAAAACACTGGATAAGGTGGCAGTACCAAAATCGGATCAGTACCCACATCGGATCACTTTTTGCAAAAATTAATCAATAAATGTGTCAACAAATCAGTTATAACAATAATGTAATCTTAGAATAGATAGCCATGCACCATTTTTTTTGTCTACATATGATTTGTTTTTAAGTTCAAATAGCACAAGAAAACGTCATTCAAACTCAAATGTCAGTATTTTGATTACGTTTTTAAAGAATGGCGCGTGCGACGACTATGCATTAAGTTTTGAACTATAAGAATACATCCACACTATAGAAATACTTTTTGTCATACAAATTCTAAAGGTCATCATAAAATGTTAATATGCTGACAAAAAATATTCATTTGAAGCGTAAGATACTGCAAAATTCAAGCTTTGATCCGATTTGTGTCCCGACATTCGAAAAACCGGAG